AGTATTCACTGCAAACTGCCCGTTGCCTGGTGAACTCCGGCTTATCGCATTCTCTCCTACCGTCCAACACCATCAGTTCGTTGCTGCCCAAGAATTCAAGCATCCTCACTCCGCTGTCGTTCACTTTGTCTTCTCCGTGCTGCCCGATCGCCTGTCCTCTACTGGAAGCTTTCTCTACTCTGGAGTTGAAATCGCTCACCATGACAACTTCTCCCTTCCTGCTGAACCTCTGGACACCTTCCCCAATTTGTCCAAAGTTATCCTGCGCCTTGCTTGCGACTTTCTTCGACGACGGTGGGACGTACACGTTCCCTAGAAACAAATCTTTTTCACGCCTGGCAGAGGGTGTGTGTGTGTGTGTGTGTGAGAATATACCGTTGTCTTGCAGCCCTATCATAGCAACGGCATATGTGGCTGATCTTGACGGTAGCAGGCAGAGGGGAAAGGGACACTGCCGCAGTCAAACGCATCGACATGCGACTAATAGAAAAATCCGTCCATGGTCGTTTCCATAAGAGCAAGCCGCACCGAGCCACCACCGCGCCCACATCTCTGCCACAAACAGACAAGGGTGCACTTGGCAGCACGTACCGAGATTATGTTGAGCCCCCGAATCTGCGACCGTAGCGTTTGCGAGAAGGTGTACGCCTTCTGTTCCTTCTCCCTAGGCACATCCCCACCCACGTGGCACCTGCCAGGTATTGGGACGCCACAAGCGACCAGGAGTGCAGCGGCAGACGACAGGAAGGCTCTCGCCAATGACTTGGCAGACTTTTTTGCGTTTCACTACAAGTCGTTGCTGCAGTCGTGTCTTGTCTACGACGAGTAGGCTAAGAGTCGAGGTGTGAGCTACGCGCGCCCGGGATGTCTGCTGCCGTGTCATGGCTGTCATTCCACAATCGGTCTTTCCCTCTAGTGTAGTCTCATAAACGGTGCCACATCAGCGCAATGCTGTACTAGTTTCCGTATTCATCGACCTTCGCTCATGCCTAAAGTTAGTCGCATCCTCCGAACACATTACCACAGCTGACAGCTGGGTCTACGCAGGATTAACTTCGCTGCAGGGTCTGTTCTTGCTCGGAAAAATGGGCTGGTGACGCCCGTACCTCGCGCCCTTGGGGTGCCACGACACATGCAGCCATATGTTGCCCTCGAGGGTTCGGAGCTGCAGCGCCAAGTTGTGCGCGTCCATCTGGTAGGCGTTCTCGACGCGTGCCGGTACAATAGATTGCTCGAGCTCCCGGCTCATGAGCAGCGCCGTCGTGAAGTCCACAGATTGGAGATTGGCGCCAGAGGCCCCCTTGCCCTTCTTGCGTGGCTGCCGCTGCTGCTGCTGCTGCTGCTGCTGCTGCTGCTGCTGCTGCTGCTGCTGCCGCTTTGATCCTGTCAGCGCCGTGCTCTCCGCTTCTGGTGCTGCCGCTGCTGCGAGCCGAGTAGGCTGGGGTGCCGCCAAACGTCGGCGTCTTCGTGCCTTCCTCCATGTTCCGGTGGGGGCGGCATAGCACCCGTCTTGTGCGGCAGGCGCTCTTGCCGCCGTTGCGCCTGCTGAGCGACGCACCGGAGCCTGTGGGGCCCAAGAGAAGGCCAGCGTTCGATGGAGGCACAGCGCAATTACTGCCAGTTTCATTCGCCTCGGCGGTTGCATCGCCGGGCTAGAGAGCCGCTTTCCGTCTCAGTGCAGCACGTGCACCACTCCACGAGGCTACTGCGGCGCGAGGAGGACAGAAGCGACCAGAAACGTTTTGGAATGTCATCGACATACTGTACCACCTTGTATTAACCGTAGGCGATCCATGCAGTATCAGCTGGTGGGTCGATCCAATAGCTTGACGAGCAAGCGTGTGCGCCAGCAAAGGTAAAGCAGCTCGGCGTGAATGGCGTGAACGCGCCAAGGAGAGGTCGCGTTGTATTCTCTGCCACCGCCACGGCCACACAAACCGGCCCCACGCCACAGACGACACCTTGTGTATACCACACAATAACCCCCCGCTATTCCACGGTACCACATCCCTGGAAACATACCGTGCCATCCCATTCGGTGTCTACTGTTACTACAAGTACATAGCATTCCAAGCACGCTCGACCCGGAAACGCCAAGCACCACCAACAGGATCCATATCCGTGAACCAACGGGTACATATCTTTTCAATCTTTCCACGCTGCCTGTAACATACAGTGTATTGAGAAAAGAGGATACGACACGAATAGCGTGTTTTTTTATTTATTCTGAGGCAGCACGTGCCTTGTTGTATGTACTCTGCGACGACGATATTGGCTTCATCCTGCTGGTGATCTATTCTACTCAATACCACATACATAATCCAGTTGCATGCTTGCGCAGTACCGGACACGTGTGCGTGCGTGGCGATTGACTGAGGCACGTAAAGTGTTTTACTGCTGTAGGCCCTTCTCGTCAGTCGCAGTGCATGGATGTAGCAAGGGAAGCACGACGATTGCTGCCACTGAGGCAAAGGTGCGCGATGGCTCTGCGGTACATGGAGCAGACCCACATGTCAGCGGCGGGACAGCAGCAGAGAGCAGCCTTGCGACACAGAGTTGACACATGACAAGGGGGGCCGTAGGGGATAGCTGCTGTAGGGAAAATGTGACCTGGTACAGCCAACATTCACAGCAGTACTGCGGTTGAGTTTCACCTTAATGAATTGGAGCGGTAGATTTCAAACACCATCCAAGCAGCGCTCAAGCAGCAGCTCTCCTCAGCGAGAACCACTCCGCGTAACTCCTTGGTGAACAGCCATGGGCTGTGAGCAAATCGGCGGAGAGCGAGATGAAAGTACCCATCTGTCTTGTGATACAAATTGCGGGGCCCCGCGGAACTGTCTCTCGGTATGTCTCTCCGCGCCCTTTTCCAGAATACTACAACTTGTACTACAATACTCTCTCTGCTTTTCGGGCACTCCCCGCCCGCCTGCTCGTGCTCCTCCTCTCTACGGCCGAAAAATTAGAGTGCTTGGGCGTGCTGTTATGTTCTAGGAGAAAGGCATAACGCGCACGGCACGCACGCACCGGCGTGGTCTGGTTAGAGTCATCATCATCAACACGCCGCCGCCGAACCGAACCAAGATTTGATACGAGATCAAAGCAGGCGGGCGGTCCTTTTGTGCCTTTTTCCTTACAGGGGCTTGCGTGCGCTCTCCGACTTCGGCTCCCAAGAGAAAGGGCCACGCTGACCCGCGGGAAGCATGCTCGTGCACCAGGCGCAGCAGTCTCAGATCGTGGCGGCAGGCCCCGCTTCGCGCAAGTCCCTCGGCGGCGGATGCCGACCGCCGCCCTCGTTGCAACGAGAACCAGCAGTCGCCCTTGACTTGGACGGCATGTTCGGCGAGGAGCCAACCACACCGTCTCCACGAGACGAGCTATCCGCGGAGGCGATGAAGACGGACCAGTGGTGCGAGAGGAACTCTGTGGCTCTCCTGGAGGCGTGCGGCAACCGCGACGTCGGAAAAGGTATGTACGTGCTCCTCTCTGTCGCGAGCTCCCAAGACAAACGTATGCATGTGTCCGTCTCTCCGCGGCCATCACTGCTGTATCGTCCGGTTGAAGTTCTCCGAATATCGGTCGAGCCGCAACTGCTAGCTGCGTCGTGGCTCACGAGCAAGCCCCCCCCCTCTCTCTCGTCTATCTAGTGCCTCCGTGGTTGGGGCATCGTACATCGAGTCCTCGTTTGCGTTGCAAATAATGTCGTTCGCTAGAAGTTTGTGCCAAGCTTTTTAATGTCGGGAAATTTTTGCAACCATCACGACGTGGCAGGGGACTGGCATCACGGCCGCGGGACAACTTCGTGGGACGAACGATCAGTCCATATCCGCTTTTTTTTGTTTTGGACGGTACACGCCCCGACGCCCACCGGCATTCGCTGCTCGCGAACTAAACTACTAAAGGCGTTGCGTGCTGTCGGTCGAACGCCGCATAAGGCGCACACGTTGGTTCTCTTGTCAAGTTTTCGATGATTCATAACTCCGCCTGCTGACGATAATATCCGTGTGCAATTTCGGGCGTGTCTCAAAAGATATATGGATGACCTCCATCACCACGCGCGGGCTCCACCCTATCATAAGAAAACACAGCGTAGTGAGCTTTTATCAGAGTAGCCGCTGCGACTGCTGCAAACTTCCTCAGGCTCTTGTCAAAGTAGAACATAGGCACGTCGTAGGTTGCTGTTCGTCTTCGACATTGAACTTACCACTTTACTACTCACATCATTCATACATTACCGACAGTAGCAGTAGCATGGTTCTACTAACCAGGCAGTACAATATATGGTGACGTGCCGTCTTCTCGAAAATTGGTCGAGATGGAACAAAGCAGTGGTCCACACATGCCGGGTTATTTGCAGGGGCAAACGACAGCTCGCACCGAGGAGCCTCAGTACCTCTTCGCCGATCGTGCTACGGCTGGAGTCATGGATTTCTGACAGCAGTGGAAGAAATAGCTCAAAGAATAGTATAGATATCGTCAAGCAGGGGGTCGCTTCACACCCTTGTGACGGCATCTTTTTTCGACACATGCTTTGGGACGGGTGTTATCTGCCATGGGTACATACATCATTTGTACTTTTCCTTAATGGTTACAGCAATGTGGGTACGAAACTGCCGCTGTCTCACCCTTCAACACCAACCTGCAAGAAGTTGCGTGCATCATGCAGAATTTGACCGTTCACCCAATCAGAGGACATTGCCCTACAGCTGTTGGCCCTCACAAGCCTCTGGTTCCTCAACTTCAGGACTTCAAGAGACTCATGACGCCAGCGCCCAATACAGCAGTTGATTTTTCTTTTTTTGTCCCGCTGATAGTACACAACAAATGCATCTCTTATCCATAGAAAAAAGAGTCTGAGATAGATCAGCAATGAGTCCATAGCGTCAGCAGCAACTACTTGTATTTCTACAGTTTCCCGAGCAGCACATAGCCATGTCTCCCCTGTGAGTAGCAGGCTCAACAAAACAGCTGTTTTGGGTATTGCTTCTTTTCCGGTTTTGGGGACGCAATATCCGGCAGACAGCGATGTACATACGTGGTACATGAATGTATTTGCAATTTGTCGCTGCAAGGACCTCAACATGGCCTTGTAGGAGCTATCTCGAACGGGTTATGTTGATCCTGTGATGTTTGGTGTACTACTGTACATACCACTTGTTTAAATACGATTATCTGTTGTGGAGGGCCTCTTTGTTGTTGTTGTTGTTGTTGTTGTTGTTGCATCCGTGGGTCGTGGCTGCAGCACAACCGACAACGTCGCGAGGCATGCAGAAGCGATGCGTCAGGTGGTTACAATCGAATGCACGGCGGCGGTAGTTTCCAGCTAGACAATAATCACATTCTTCCGCTGTACCACAATCAATATGAAGGCACCACCCCCTATGGCTATTCAGCGGAGACGATGAGAAGGGGGAGTTGTAAGCTGCTCGTTTGCTGCCAACGCAGCTTACCGATAAAAGGCACCACGACAATGTTGACGGTGAACATGGGTCGAACTTACTGGTGTGTTTTCCCTGGAGCTAACAGCAAGGAGGCTGTCCTATTCGAAAACTCACCCCCCCCAAGGGGGCAGACGCATAGACGAGCTGAGTGGGGATAGCTTCATACTGAAACCTCACGAGTTGAGTGATGTCGGATAGTGCCGGACACATAGACGCTTTGAGTGAGGAAAGACACATACTGAAACCTCACAGGTGATTTGTATTGGAGCTTGCCAGACACATGACGCGCTGCGTGGGGATAGCTACATACTGCAACCTCACGAGATGGATTGGTTGTTGAGTTTGCCAGACACAGTCTAGACGCGCTGCGTGGGGATAGCTACATACTGAAACCTCACGAGTTGAGTGATGTTGGATAGTGCCGGACACATAGACGCTTTGAGTGAGGAAATACACATCCTGAAACCTCACAGGTGATTCGTATTGGAG